CATGGCTTTAGTTTTCAGTCCTTAACTGGAAGGAAAGGCAGTGGGTTGTGGTTAACTAGAAAGTTTGACAATCTGAGATCTTCTGCCTCCCTGCTGGAGGTGAAATTGTAATTAGGTCTGTGATTGCGTTGCAGAGGATAGATGAAATACAATAGCAAAATGTAAGTAATAGTGGATTTGTGTGTTTTGTTGTTTTTTTTTTCCTCATACTGAATGAATTATCTTTAAATTGTTAAGAAAAAGCAAGCAGTACTTCATATATTTAAACCACAGTAGATATTTTTCTTTACTTGAAACTCTATATGTGTTGATATATTGAGTAGCCAGTAAATGTGAAATTATATATGTGCTGCCATTTATCAAAAGATTATTTGTTTCTCACATTGAGGACAATTAATGGCAGCAGCCTTATTAAACTTCCTGCCTTACTGCTGATCAATAAGCACTCATTCCAGGAAGTTATGCTTCTGAAAGGTCTGGTGTTAAATAAAAAGCTGACATTTCAAAGATTGACTTTCATGCCCAATCAAGAGTGTAACCATCTTACATTTAAATCCTTTAGTATTCATGTATTTTGTCTGCATTTTTATGCCAAAGAAGTACATTTTGTGAGGCTACCAATGAACAGAATAGAGCAGCTTCAGGACTTACTCTCACTTTGTTTCATTCTACCCGTATTTATAGTGTCAGCAACTTTTTTTTTCTTGGTTTCAGTGATGAGAGTTTGCCACAATTTTAACAGACCAGTTGCAGAAAGATTTTGAAGTCAGGCAGAAACCAAAGAGGACAGGTATGACCCCTCAGTCAAATGCATCACCTTTATTATTGAAATAACATTCAGGATTCAAGGCAGTTTGCCTGCAACCAGTGGAAAACAGAAGATTGTAGTAACAATGCAGTAAGTCTCGAGCTTATCAGCTGCAGCCATACAATTCCCCCAGAACATATGAGTGCCACTTCCAAAGCAAAACAGTACCAAGAACCCTCACACTCTGGGCCGCTGGGATGTCTGCACACATCCTTGCTCTGGCTGTGATTGTTCGTCTGCTGTGTTTTACACAACAGCATAAAAGAGTGGTTCAACAGTGGCGTGTGCTGAGCATAAGCTCGTTGTGTGATAAGTATGTGGAACCCTTCAATATTCTGAGCAAGGTGAGAGATAGGTTCTTGTGGTGCAGTGTGCCTGAAGATAAGAAAAATATGAAATGCCTGATTTTGGATTGCCTATATTATGTAAGCCAGACTAGTTGAAAGAAGCAAAACAGTTCAGTAGTTTTTAAGAAGTTTGTTGTTTTAGCTTGTAGAAAAAACAAACAAACAAACAAACAAACATGACAGCAGTCTATTAAGACTTCATAAAGTTCTGGTGCAACAAGAAAGGAGTATTACAATATCATTTCTTGCGGTAATAAATGGTCTGGTTGTTATTAGAACATTGATCAGGAAGGAAGCAGAAGTCTGTCCTTTTTTCATAAAATGGTATAAAAGAAGGTTACACACTTCAAAATGCAGAAAAGACAGAAATTAAAAGCTTAAATAACTGCAAACAGCAGGATACGTCAGTAATGGAAGGACTTCTTAAATGACTTTGACAGCTTTTGCAGGTGCATGTACTATGTCACTTTGCTTGGTGGAGCACTGAAAAAGATTTATGGTTCTCCTTTTGCAATTTATTAAGAGTTTCTTTCTTTGTTTTTCTTTCTTTGCAAAGTAGTCTGGACATACCCCTCCCTTGCAGTCATTTTTATTACAGCTCCTAGAGGAAAGTCACCTATTCAAAAACATGTGTTGCTTGTTGTCTCAGTGGCTAACTTGCAGAGCTGTAAACTCTGGAGAATGTTGTTATTTACAGCCAGATATTTTCCTTTCCCCCTCCCCCTTTTGGTGTAAAAATACCATTTTATTTGATTTAGTTCTTGAAATTTGTCTTGTGTAATTTTGCACCCCTAAACATTTAAATTGGTAGCAAAAATAGTTTCTCGAAGAGAAGACTGACCATCAGCAACTAGAAGTTCTGTGATTTTTTTTTTATGACATGTCCTAAGTTATGCTCCTTTGTATGATGTTATTCTTGCTTTCACAACGTGCTTGCATAATACTGTCTGTAGGTGCTCCAAGGGGCCAAATATGGTAACTGTTATTCCTGTGGTGTTTACTGACTTTAATTTTATTCAGTTTCTGTTTCTCACAAACCCAATTTTCTGTCTATGCTCTTTGAAACATTATTTATTATGTTAAAAAATCATGGAGTTACCTTGTGAGAATTTATTCCATTGGCAGTGTTAACCCATCTCCGGATAAACAAGCATCTCTTTTGTTTTTGTTTTCTGAAATTTCTCCATATTTTTAAAGAACCTTCTGTCCTGAAAAATCTTGTCTTTACATTAATAGAAGTAAAAGTGATGGCAGCATCTAATTCAGATGCATATTCCAAGAAAGTGAGACAGAGTTTTGCCCTCCAAGTCAGTCAGGATTAGAGCTTTAATATAAATGAATGTCGCGTCAGTCAGAATTTTCCAGAGGAGGTAGTGAATTACCAGTCTTACAGAAATAAAGTATTTTAATTGCCTAGTGAAGACAAATACTAAAATTTAAATACTGCCCTGGTGGCAGTAATCACTAAGATAACCGATTAATAGCATCAATTAAGGCAAAACGGTTAACCTTCCCTTTAGTTACACGCAGTGGTGTGATTGATTACAAGAATGATGGGAATCGCTCAAAGAACTCACAAAACTGGGAAGGAGCTTGAGTTTGCAAAGGAAATTTAACTTGACTACAGCTACTGAAAGGAATAGCTAAAATGCTTTTACTTATCTTGGTGTGGTCTGATCACCAGATAACTACCCTGGCATGAGAGGTGTAGCCACCAAAATGGCCAGTGAGCCATCTTCTAATAATTTTTCTTCTTGCCAGTTTATGTTGTACTTAATATAGCTGTATTATATTCACTAAGAGTCTCCTAATAATTGGGTCAGTGTGTTTGAGGTCAGTCTTTTTAATGTTGTTTGTTCTTTTCATGATGTTATGGTTTTATAATTTCTGCTGTTACTTGCACCTGGGATTTAAGTTCTGCATTTTTGGTGTTTGATTCCATTAAATGTTTCTAAATATTTATTACATAAGTTGATTCTTTGCAATAAAGTAATCATAATCGAACCATTTCTGTTCAAAGGTTAAAAGTTATTCTTGCTTGGTACTAACAAATTACAAAATATTATTTTGTTACCTGTCAAGTAAGTCATATCTTGTGATGACATATTTTTTCAAAGTTGTTTTATTGCGTTTGTCTGTAATATTTCCTAAACCTTCCTAGTTTTATATTCAATGAATAGTGCATCATAAATCGGTCCAAACTACTCCAGTTCCATTGGGGTACTATTTGTCTATTCCACTAAGATCAGCCCATGCATAAAGTATGTTCTAAAACATATTTCTCTCTAAAATACGTGAGAAGTATCAATAGCATACTTGTTTCTCTGTGTTTTATCCTATAACTTCTGCTCAGTGTGAAGCTTACTTTTTTTTTCCCCTATTTTTTTAATACTGTAATAATTGCCTTGCTTTCTGTTTTGTTTTTTATTTTTAGCAGTTTTTATTTGGTTTAACACGTTAAGAACCATGTTTCATCTTTGTCTACAAGAGATATAGAAAGTGTTATCAAAACTTGGTGCTTTAATTAAAACATTTCTTGTTGAATGAGAACAACGTGCCAACCTATAAAGAGCGCATATTGGGACATTCCTGATATTAATGGGGAAAAAATGACAGTGTGTGTCCTGGTACGTGTAGAACACTGACAACACCTGTGACAGGTGGCGTATTGAAATCCTCACAGTACAAGATTTCGAAGCTTCTTGTAGTCTGAAGTTAAGGTCATATTTCTGCCCCATCAGGGGCTTGTTGTAGACTTAAGCATTTGCTGAACTGCATGATGAGATGTGGGCAGTAACACTTTATATTTGCATATGATTTTCTTAGCCAATGCTGTTTTCCCTTTGCACAAATTCTATCCACATGTCTTTAAATTACGGCCAGTTTTCCAACGCTCGAAATCACTTATGTGATTAATTGCATCTATAGGTTTTTGTTGTTGTTGTTTTGTAATTATTTTATTTTTATTTTGTTTTTGGGTGCAGTGTTGTTGATACAAAGAAATGTACAGACCTTGAGACAGTCATTTGTGAAGCACAAATGGCTAAAATTCCTGACTTAAGTGTTCTGGTTGAGGCATAGCAGTTGGTGTGCTGCAAATTCACATGCTATCACGAGTACTCACTAACCTGTTTGATCAAATTGTTATTTAGCAAACAAAACCAGGCTGAAGACTTTTACTATACTTGAAAAAGAGTCTCTGTGTGAGCTCCCTTGGGAAGCTCTAAATGTATGCTAACGTTAAGTTAACTGTAATTTACAGTAAATTACCCTGCACAAAGGCATTCTTAGTGCACAGTTTTCAAGCTGGCATACTATTTACTCTGCCCTTCTGTTTAACAGCCTAATATAAATGCAGCAATGTAAAGAGACTTTAGGCTTCTTTTGTATTTACTACTTCAAAAATCCATACTGTGCTCAGTAGCCCACATTAACCTCAGAATTTTGCAAATATTTCTATCAGAAAATAGTAAAACATAGTGTTTTGTCATTGCAGAAAAGGGGAGGCAGTAGACTTGAGCACTGCTCATATAGCCAGCCTTCTGCTAACCAAGGCTTTGCATAAATAATAATGCACTCTATAGGCCATGAGGAAAAATGGTTTTCTAGCCCTAATTGGTGATGCTTGAGCATTTCATGTCCTTTTCTAACAACCTTTAGAAGACTTGATCGATATGTGGCTTTCCTCATCAGGTGTTCAGAAAGTCTCAATGAGTATAGTAGCAGCTAGGTTCCAAATAATTAATGCAGAAGTAGTTTGTTGTTGTTGTTCTTTTTTGTTTGTTGGTTGGCTTTTTTAAAAACAAAACAAAACCAAAGAATAACGTGAGTTTTCTATCCTCCAGACACGTTTCAACCAGCGTCTCAGTAACCAGGATTTTGCCTTGGATGAAGATGATGATGATGAAATGGAGAGAACAAGCAAGTAAGAAGTCTGTTAGGATATATGTACATGTATGGGAGAAAGGAAAAATAACTAGCATTATTTAGCAAACTTGAGTTCAAGTGACAAATCTTTCTCCTGTCCAGGCTGCTAGCTTGATTCTGAATCTGTAAGATGTCTAGTAGTGTAGGATTAGATCCTCGTTTAAAAGTGGGGCAGGCTATTATGTGTTTTAATTACTATTAGTGGCTAGGAGAGTTTGATGTAATCCTCAGTCTTCACAGACTCGAGATAAAATGATAAGCTCCATACACAAAGAAGCAATGAAATAATACTCATCAACATGGTGGGCAGTGACCTCAGCTAATCTGGTCTTTAGTCCGCTGTTGTGGTCATAACAATGGAAAGTTTTCTCAAGGGTCTGAAAAAGAATGATTGCCTTGTGAATTTTATGTGAAGATCTTACTATGTGTGGATTAAAAGGAAATCTGAAATTGAGACTTAATTTTTTGTTGAGGCATTTTCTGAATTCAGTAGATGATATTTGATAATGAATATATGGCTACAGAGCATGAAGGCCATTGAAAGCAAAGTCAAGCAGCCTGATGCAGGAGGAAAATGGGAGCTACAGAAGAGTTCAAATGATGAGATCAAAACAGTGAGCTATTGAAACAGACTTTATAGTAGTATTCTGATCAGATACAGATAGACTGTTGTAGGGTGGGGGCCAGAGGTAAGATTATTGCAATAAGTGAAAGAGAAAATGATACGAGACAAAAGCGCCTATTCTCCTTGTAGATAGGCAGTACTTGGGTAAATCTGCTCATGTGGCAGAGGAAGAGTTGCAGAATGAGAAAAAAAAAAATATGGCTAGGTCTGCTGGAAAGTTCTATAAATATTGGCATAGATAGAGGGTGTAGACAAGGGAAAAGAGGAGCCAAGTTTGGAATGACTAAAATTTGGAGGGAAGATATGGGAAGTTGTATTAAGGGTGGCTTGAAATAATAGTTGTAGTGGTTGGGGTAGAGCAAAGAAGCAGGAATATTAGCTAATAGCTATTACATCTGCATAGGTACTGTACATACATGTATACCTTTAGGTAAAATTGTTAAGCAAAAAGAAAAGTGGGGTTCATTTTTAAGCCTTCAAATGTATTCTGCTACTTACTTTCAGAAGTATCTGTAATGAAATGGCTTTTATGTTCCCATCTGATGCAAGTTTTTGCCTTCAGGTTATCATCAGAAGACAGTGAGGAGGCTTCTGCTTATTTTTATGATAGTGATGATTCTGGTGAAACTGGAGTAACTGCACAGCATCAAGGAGAAATGGATTTGCTTGGAGAGATTCTGGACACGCTGAGCACACACAGTTCAGATCAAGGAAAACTCTCAGGAGCAAAGAGCCTGGATTTCTTTAGGTCACTGGATGACATTGGTTACAAGGCTACGGTTAGTGTCCAGCTTTCATTCGAAAAATAGTCCCATTCCCTTTACAGTGGAATCCTGCAATTGTGGAATCAACAGCATGAGGATAGAAACTACAGAATAGTCTTTAGAATTGTGAGTTTGTAATTCTGCTGCTACAAAATAGCACGCCCATGCTGGCAACTTCATGATATATTTTCACTTGCCAAGGGATCGATTACATTCGTGTCACACAAGTCATCTGGGGCACAGTATTTTTCCCTTACAGCATTAACCGCATACAGAGTTGTGAATAAAGTAATAATATATTGAATCAGATAGTTTAATACTGTATTTAGCTGTTCTGTCTTGTATTCCTTGATCTAGTTACAGTGTCTGTGATATAGTTTACAAGGTATTTCAATTTTTACCTTGCATCATTAAACTAGTCACAGTGTTACAGTAACGTTTCCATCTTAATTTATGGCATCCACTGCACCTGAAACACTGCTAGAATAGTACTCCAAAGATTTCTAAAAGGGTACCTTGGTCCTGTGCAACTTTAGATAGAGTTGCTTGGGACCCGGAGTGTAAGCGAATCTCTTTATGGGTCAGAACTCTTGCCTACAACTTTAAAAACCCTCACCTGCTGTGACACTAGGTAAAAAGAAGTTGGTGTTTTTGAATTCAGGCTTATATCAGCTGTCCAATATTTACTGTTTCTGAACGGAATCCTATGGTCAAAGATTTGTCACTGGAACAACAAATTCTGACATAAATGTTTAAAAAGCTTGTAAATTTTGATATTATGAATGTCACATAGGGGTCACATTAATAAACTGCCCATTTTTGTTTGTTTAGCTAAAAGATTTAATATTGAAAGTTGGTATAATTAATTACTGAAGCAAAGAGGGAATGCCATCTGGTTTCAGTTTTAGTCCAACTCCTCATATTATGGTACAAAGCAGAAAAGTATGTCTTTGTTCACTGTCAAAAGTGCTTGTGCAAAGACTGAACGGACAGGGGAGCCAGACTCTTTCCTTTGTGCAAAAGGTGATCCCCAGGATAAGAAACAAAATATTCTGGCAAGAAAGTTAAAACAAAACAAAACAAAACACAAAACCAAAACAAAACAAAAAAACACCTTGATTTGTAACATTGAAACCCAAAGGGTATATGCACGATTTAGGAACACACAAAATGCGTTACAGTATTCTTGTTTCAAAACTGCCATTTTTTCTTGTAACATTAAGCATAAACATATTCTTTCTTTCAGAACAAGTCAAATGCACCTAGTGAGAGCAACCTTACCCTGCTCTGCAGCAATGCTAATGATCAAGCAGACTGGAATCTTGGTCAGGATGATAGTGTTCTCCATGGGAAGCAGCTCCCTCCATCGCCAAGGAACCAAGTTTCTTCTGTTGGACATAGAGAATCTCTCTCAAGACTGGAAGAAGAAAGTAGTGAGAAAACCTTTATTACTGACACGATGGACACCTCTGGTGGTTGCATAACATCGCCATCTCCTGTACAATCAAGTGCCCAGCTTGGTTCTCTAGAAGGTTGCACGGAAGGCTATTCTTCCTATACGTATGCAAAGCAGAATGAAACACTAAGCAATACCTCAGAAGATCAGCTCCCAGCAAGTCTTGCTCAACATCCATCCATTTTGGTCCCTTGGGAGAAAGATAGGAAAGAAGGAAATGAAACTCCAGATGAGGGTGGGCTTTTTCAAGAAGTGATATCTTTATGTAAACTGAGTTCTGCTTTTCACTATGGTTTAAATATTTCGAAGGATAGCTTATCCAGCAATAGCAGTGGGAATAAAACGTAAGAAAACTATTAGAAGATAAACTTGACTCCCAGAAGAAGTTTGAAGGGAGGCTACTCAGGACTCCATATAACTCCATGTAACATTTTAACCAAAATATGAAAAAGGAATAAGAGATTTCAATTACAGGAAAAAAAAAAACAACTCTTCAGCTGAATATGCATTTTCTGCTACTGGAATATTTGCTTCTATGTTTACCCAGTTCGTTTGTTGGCTGTAGTTAGGTCCACAAAATGGAACTAAATATATAAACGCACTCTTAAATCAGGTACTAGTTAGTCTCTGTGCTAAAAATACAGCAGGTGGATGGTGCTTCGTAGCATTTACTTCCTCTAAGCAGCAGGAAAGGTATCACCTAATAGGTAACCAGGTTTTGAAGGTACTGTATTAATCCCATTAAGCAGGAAATGAACCAAACAGTCTAGACTTGTTTGAAATGTACAAATGTTAATACTTTTAACAAGTAATAATTGCCTTAATCTTTTGAGAAAGGATTTATCTTAGAAGATGAATGCAAATGTACAAAACAGCAATAATGATTTTCCATGGCAAGAATTTGCTTCAGCAAAGGCAGGGGGTTGGGGGGAGGAAGTCTTTTTAGATTGAGGAATTGCTTGTGAATATAACTTGGAACTTACTGCAAACTAAAACTGTGGCCCTGTCTTCCAGACTTCAAAAAGGTAGCGCATGCTTTTCTCTCTTCTGTAAAGTACATGAAGTGCTGAATTATAATGTGAAGTTTATAAACTTCTGTTTACAACTAAGACACTTTAAAGACATGTTATCCAGTTTCTCTAGGTAGACTATTTCATCTAAAAATTTTCAGAAAGGAACGTGTAAGTGGAATTTATAGATTTCTATTTTTTATTTTTATTTTCTACAGTCTAATAGTATTTGAAAAATTATTTGTGCCTGTTCGGAACTATTTTCTTTTGATTCTTAGAAGCTACTATTTGAAGGTAGTATGAATTACTGTTACTTAGAAGTCATATTTAGTTAAATTATTAAAGATTAATGACTGGGAATTATTTGTAACACTAGAAAACTGAAATTACAGATTGAGCTTGAGACAGTATATATCCAACTCTCATTTTAGCCAAGTTGAACTTCTAAAATCTCTTTCCAAAGGCAGTGAAGGAGAATATATGGACTTATACATTGTATTTATTTAGAACAACCATTTGTCCTCCTTCTGGCAGCATTCCTGAACAATTTGCATATATAGAGCAACTCTTTCTGTTCCCCTGCCTTTTTTCTTTTAATTCCTCCCACATACCTTTCCTTTTTCTGTATCTCCACCTTACCATGCATACATTCCTTTCTCCAAACTATCTCAGGGTAGTAAAGGTGTGAAGTAAGTTTCAGTAGATTATAGTTGTCAGTTTAGAAGGATCTTTTGTGATGCAGTTAGTAGAAGTAAGAAATGGGTATAAAATGAACTGTGCCTGAGAATAATGTAATGCTCTTCTAAACTGATGCTAGATTTTATTTTTTCATTTTCTTTCCCCTTTTGGTATGAATGTTGAGTCTTAGCCTCAGTGTCAGCCTGAGTGAGCAAATTAATAAAGTCAGGAGTTGGATCAGATTGTGCTTTAGTATCTTTATTTTTGGTTGTTTGTAGCAAAGTTAATATCAATTACCATGATGAGATTTATGAATGATTTTTCCTCCTAGCTAGCAAAAATTGAAAGGGTTTTTCTGTTGTTGTTTTTTTGGTTTTGGATTCTTTGTTGTTTTTTTTTTTTTGGTGCGTTCTTACAAGTCAGCTGACTTAAGGGAAAGGATCAATATCATTAGGCAATGTTTGATGCTTTACTAAAGAGATGCAAAGACAGCTCTGCAAAAAGGTTCAGCTCTGCATTCCAAAATATTGGTGTATCTGCAGACAAGCGAAGGGTCGGTACTTGTCATTGAAAGTGAGCCTCCAGAATTAACTTTTTAAATCGGTGCATTGAAAGTTAAAGTTGTAAAAGTGGAAATCTTAGGGAAGGGTCTGTGTCTGATTAGGGCATGAATGTTCCTGAGGGCATCTGCAATCTACTGCTGGAGGATCTTAGCATTCCTGAGTCAGAGATTTTATGTCCTGAGGTCTGTACTCCATCCCGTGTTTTCCTGTAATGTGCATCAACATGCTATGTAAGGTGGAAGGGGACTTTTTTATTAATGTAAAAATGTTATCTGGCAAAAGATTTTACGCTATCAAAAATCAAAAATAACATAAAAATTATTTAATATCTTAGCTGTAACCTTTCCAGGTGGGTCAAACTGGATATCTCAGGTGCTGTTGTGAGAAAGTGGCAGGGCAACTTCACAAATGCGTGTCGGGAGATGGTATTAATGTCCCAGTGGAGTGCATTCTTCTATTTGCTGATACTAAATATTACCAAATTTAATTCTTCGAAGTGTGTCTAAGGGAAGATAGAAGACACAAAGGTCTGTGTTCTTGTAGTGCTTCTCACTTGTTCTCATTCATGTCCTTGCAAAAGCTGACAGGAATTTCAAAGTTTGCCACTTCTTTTCATCTACATCTGACACTGTTTCTTGCCACAGATCCATCTAAGATCATGTTGTTGTCTTGATTTATTAAAGATAATAAGCAGTATCGATGTCTTATCCAGAAAATAGAACAATTTCAGAAATTATGGCCATCATCCCCTTCAAGCCTATCAAACATATAAGTCCAGGAATGCTGCCAGAAAGTGGTATTAAAAATATCCATCTGATAGAATAAATCCTACTGCCTTTACATAAGAATTAGACACTGAATTCCTGTTTTCACATAGATGGTCCCATTCTCACCTCTGTGCAAAAAATATGGGAGCCTTATGAGGCTATATGAATATGCTAATATTCATATAGTTATTATAAAGAACATGAAATTGAAAGTTTGATACTGAAATCTCTCAAAATTGATGCATCATGGTAATAATTCACTGTTTCCTTGAGTGAAAATGCAGGCTGAAAAAAAAAGAAAATAGGTGAGTTAAAGATGGGAGATAAAATTCAGCTTACAGTTATTCTTTAATTCAGTTGCCATTAAAATGTTATTTACTGTTCTTCTGCTGCATTTTCCTTACTATTTATAAAGCCCATAGTGTGTTTACAATCATTAAATAGTATGTCTTTTTGGTTTTGAGCCTTGTATATGTTCAAAAATAACTCGGTCTTATACCTCTGTTGAATTTAAATGTAGGTACCTTTTAAGCATGTAATTTTACAGTCTTTTCCACTTACTATCAGTGATCCTTTAAAAAGGCTAATATTTGTGCCTTACTTAAACATCAGCACCAGTTACCAAATAGATAAAAGTCCAAAATGGTATTTCTGGTTCAACACTGTTCTCCTCTGTCCAACTGTCTATTGGCTACATATGCAGTATTTTTATTACTACATCGGGTTCTATATTAAGATAAATTGTCCAGGTCCAGTACTTTTTCCAAGTTTGATACTTGTATCTCTCTTATTTGTGGAAATCCTTCTAATGTCTTTGAAAATCATCAGCATTTGTCACCAGCTGTGGGTGAGAACTGATTCCTGCTCAGTCAGGGCTCCTGTGGTGGTCTTCAGAGGCATCTCTTCTTTTCTATTGCATCAAGATCTCAAAAATATTCCCATTCCTCCTGTTCAAGGGAGAGATACCAGGTTATTCGATTAAGTTTTGGAATCTCTTACTTACATTTAGAAACAGATTTCTGACATAGACAAACTAGGACTTGAATTTAGTATCATCGAGTTCATTTCACATATGTCTGCCTGAAATGAGCTGTAGTTCTTATTTGGCTTGGAGGAAAAAATTAGGGGCAGTAGAAAGATTCCTGGATTGTTCCAATGAGGCAGTGAAGCAGAGCCTGAGAGTCCCCAAGAAGGATGATAACTTTGAGGAAATCCAGGTTTTAGGATATTGTTTAACATTCTAGCTTGGTTGTAGTGATTCCAACCCAACCATATAGGTAAAAGGAATATTGTCTGTGTGATTAATCTCCTACGGGATGCCTGGAATGGATATGTTGTCCCAGTCAAAGCCTTCCCATCCATCCGTATAGAGTTGCACCATTGTGAAAAATGGCACGTATATTCAGGGAAGAACAAAAGAAGGAAGGACCTGGGACACAAAGGTGATCCCTACCCTCTATGCATGCAGAGGGCAGTCTTTGTAGTGAAGGCAATGGTTTGCTCTTCCATCCTGCATATTTGCGGGGTCACGTAACTCCTAAAAATAGACTTGTTCTGAGGGAAAAATGTAGTTGTAGAAGTTCTCATGTACCATTTTGACTGAAACCTTCACTGTCATTTAGCATTTCAGAGATACTGCTGCTGTTTGGTGAGGGGTGGGGTCGTCAGAAATGCCCGGCACTAGCTGAAGTCCCCTCTCAGGCACTGTAATGCAGACTTCAGTGGGAGTTTTAGACACGTGCTGGGTGCTTTTCAAAATCCCACCCAATCTGTTAGAGAAATGTTTTGTAGATGTCTTTTCGAGTTTTAGAATGAGCTTGTTATAACTCGTGTTCTTGTAAACTATGTAAAGTCTTAGGCAAAAGAAAAGGTAAGCCAGGTTTTTCAAACAGCTTCTGTTTTTCCACCTACAATCGGTTATATTCAGTCCTCCTGAACAATCTTTCTTTGGTGCAGCTGTCTAATCAAATTGCCAGGGGCATCTCAAATCTTTTCTCTATGCATGTAATCTGAAGAAACATTTCATGCAATAAACAAAGTGCCAGCATGAGGCCCTTTTAAATGCATCCCCTGTGAAATACTGCCTGTAATACCCTGTCCAGCAGAAAGGAGCCTCGTAATGCTGACCTCCCTGGCGCTGCAGGGAGAGGTCAAGGGTGGTCTTCATTTCCAAGGGAGTCAGTACCTTGTCTCTGGGTGCCAGGCCTCAGTCCAGGTGCTGTGAGGCTCCAGCCGGTTTGCTCCCAACAGACTGGAATTTCAGCCTAAGCAAATGTGGCTACTAAAAACTGTGTCCAAGGCAAGCAGCTTCTTTATTGCAAAGCTTGGGTTGGTAAAGGCAGTCTGTTCCCACAGTGAACCTTTGGAGTGTGAATGTAGAAATTCACCAGCAACAGCCGTGTGGATGGAAATGTGACTTGTCTTCAGTAACCTCTTCTTTGCTGCTATTAGATGTGTTTGTCTTTGCCAAGCGTTGTTTACCTTCTAACAGTCTGGGCTGAACAGAATGTGTCCTCGTTCTCAGCCCAAGGGCATGGGCCACATCTGGTCTAGAGCATGTCCTTGTCCCCACACAGGGGGGTGGGACATGTCATGGTCTTTGGGCCGGATGAGAATAAAGGAACGCAAAAGGGATGGTATGGTTTTGTGCAAATTAAACCTGCCTTGATTACCTTTGTGTTGTCTGTTGCATGGTTTCAGTTGGTGACCAGACTAAAGTACTTGATACAACTTCCCTGGAGGCTACTGAACTTCTAAGTAGAGATGTCTGAGGAGGCCACAGCCAGCTTTGTCTGAGGGTCACCCACTGCCAGTGTAGGGCTGTCAGCATTTTTCCTGGGTTGGAGTATGAAGAAGGTAACACAGTTGCAGGTTATTTCAAGGTTTACTGTAGTAAAGGGTACTCAAATTTATTTGTACTATTCCTTAGGTCAATACTAACAACATTTGTATTTAGAATCCAGTAACAGTATTAGCATTTGAAAACTAAGTTGAGTTCAAGTTTTTTATGGTTCTTTGTGAATTGACATCCTGTTTCTGTTAAAAATAAGGGAGCTACTTGTTTTAGGAGGGGAATGTGTTGACTTTCAAATCTTCAGTGAATTTTGTGCAATATTTCTCCTTGTTTCAAAGTAATTTAGTAGTTATAAATGTGCACGTCTGCTTTTCAAGCAAATCTTTGAAATGGTATTTTTCAGAAATGTGTAAAATTACATGTAGCATTGAAAATATGCTTGTATGATAAAAACACAAAGAATATATTCTAATGAGGCAAATGTATATTTCCAATGACCAGGCATGATTATGGATGTCACATTCTACAGAAATAATAAAGCCTAAGCCAATGTTCACATACAAGTGACTTTAAATTGAAGATTAAATACTAGAATTTATAATGTTTAATTTATCATTTGATCGTTTGTTTAATGTTGGTAAAAATAGGCAAGGAGTTAAGCATCACTTTTCATTACCACCACCGAGGTGACTGTTCAAGGTGATGACCGTATTGTTAAGAAGAATTTAGTTTGTGACATCCCTAATTATCATAAGTCATTACTTAAAAGATCTACTAATGTTGCCAGTATACTTTTAACTTCCGTAAATTAATTTCTTTGTATATTGATGTACATTTTGTTTTTACCTTTGTTTTTTTTTCTTGAGAACTTCTTTAAATTAATTTACTTGAATGAGGCAATAAAGCATTGTGGAACAGCTAGTTTTTGTGCAGCCTATGCACGAGCACATCACGTCTGTTAATTCATGATTTTTGAGTAAGAAGAAAAATTTTAAATGCTTACATGGTTAGCAAACTGACAATTTGTTTGTTTTCTTTAGATATGTGTCAGATATGATGAGAAATGCCTCAACGTGGAACAGACACATTACATATCCGACAATTTCTATTTTTTTTTTCAGAACATTTCATTAGTGGCCTTTGAAAACAACCTGTTAATATTCTTGTGTCCTTTAACACCTGCAGGAAGGGCATAAAATACAGGACACTTTGAGATTTTATTGATCATTTTATTAATTTTGGAAACAAAGTAACCTAACCAGCACTGTGCTATAACAGGTTTAGAAAATTAGAAATTTAGTTAATCACTGACTTGTAATAAAACTGGAACCAAATCTAAAAATTTAATCCTTCCTTTTGCACACTGGACTACTGTTCAAAGTCATCTCAAGAATTGTAATTCAGACCTTAGACTACTATTGGTAGTGCACTGTGTATACGTAGTAAATGAGCAGTGTTTCTTGTTCTGTTAATTTCCGAGTTTGTGGTGTCCATAGAAGTTCTTGGTGAACTCCACGTTACCATAAAGTGCCCAACACTGTATTATAAAATAAAACTTAATAATATCAAAACTCCTTGGGTGATGCAGGTTCTTGTTTGATGGGTTGACATGAATTTTCATACATATCAGGCATATGGATTAAAATAATACAAAAATACTATAGTAATGGGAAGTTTTTATCCATTGAATGTTGATTTCAGTTTCTCAAATACAGAGAAAACTGTTTGCTTATTAATTGCAGTTTATACAATACAAAAGTAAAATACTTACGTCCTTTGTAATTCCAACAGTATATTAGCATCTTTTAAAAATCTGGTCTGTGATTCACTCTACTGAATTAAAAGCATTTTGATATCTTATGCAGGCCAACTATGGAGGCTGTGATTTTAGTATTGGTACACTCAATCCACAACTGATGAAAGAATTACAAATTACATGTACAGAAAACAATGAGGCGTGTGATATTAACACGTGCTAATAGACTCCTAGTAGCTTACTCCAGCTAGCAGAATGATACCAGCTGTGAATGCTGGTAGCACAGGGATCTTGGCTGCTTGATAAAGCATCTTGCAGTCATTTCTTCATGTTGCCAGTAGATGTGCCCACATATTTATTCAGCTCTGAAAACAGATGGCTGTGACAATGAATTTCTTGTTGTAGGTCCAGCTTATGAGCCAATGGAGGGCATTAGGAACAAGGAGAAGCCTTCAATCTTTCTCGAGAAAAATAAGTAAGCAGAATGAGTGAGCATGTATGAAGACAATAAATCATTATGTCTCAGGTTAAGTTTGCCCACTTTCCTTAGCTTGCTATCTCAGTGCACTGAGAATGCACTTGCAACTTGCTGTCTACAGGCATTTCAGTTCATTAAATTCTTCCAAACTTGAGCACAGCAAAGGATCGAAAAAGAGCAGGTAATAAGACAAGTTAGTCTAACTTAAGTTGGCAAATTTTACACAGGTGGTGCAGCAGGACTCTGTTCCGGTCAATAAAATGATAGCAAATGTCTGTCTATGAAAAATGAATTATTTCAGAGGGCTTTGCTCTAACAGTCACAGTAAGACCCCGAGTATGAACACTGGCACATTATGAAGAGTTGTGGCCATTTGGGGGAAAAAGGCAGCTCCCAAGTACTGTCATGTTTGGGACTTGTTTAGGAGGAGAAATCATAAACGTTCCTCTTCATTAGTGCTCATCAACTGCTTGTGCTGCAAAAGCAGCTGAGAATGTTGCTTTTGCAAGATACTTCTACACAATGCAGCTGCAGCCATACCTGGATGATAGACAAAGCATTTCATTTTATTTCCAGAACTCACTGTGTGTTAACTCATGTTCGTAAAAGGAAAAATAACTTTATCAAATTCACAGATTTAGATTTTTATTTGATGTGACAAGTGATAAAAACAACAAAAACCTAAGCAATGCCTGAAGTTATGTTGGGGGGTTGCTGGTATTCAGATAAAACAAAGCAGTCAGACTGCAGATTTTCATCAATCAGAAAACAAAAATAAAAAAAAAATGCTAGCAGCTTCTTAAGCTTTAAAACCCCAGAGGTTGTCAATCCTGCTACAAATTCTGTATGAAACATAAACAAGTACTAGTTCTAAAAGCAAAGTTTGTGAACTACATTTGGAATATGCTATGGGCCATATATCATTTCCTTTCCATTGCTCCTATTTCACATTTCTCCTGGAAGTTGAAGGGCCGAGTCCTGATGGCATACTGCTCCACACATTCTCTCTTTCAGGTCTACTTCTTCCCACAGATAATTGTCACTGAAGCGCTGCAAACAACACAACAGCACAACAGCAAAACCTACCAAGCAGTACTGAAAACCAAATGAAAGACATGAGCTACAATGAATCCATTAAACTAAGGCCTTTTCCTTTCAGCCTCATTATCTATTATTAATTGTTAAGCTCTGCAAAGTATTCAGTATCATGGATGAGATATAATGGAAAATGTGCTCTGCTGTGTAAAGCCCAAATACCAATGCATTTGTCTACAGGAGTTTGTTTTTCAGGTGTGTCCAGTTCCATGAATAGCTCAACTAATGTGCTTTCCAAGGTGAGTATATATATATATTTTTAATAGTGGTATAAAATCACTTCATTTAGTTTGTCTTTATGCACTTCCTGAATGGTAAAGAGGAACATTTGTCTGTGTTCATATTCATGAACACAGCACAGAAAGGGAATAGAGAGAAGATGGTGAGGAGGAGTAGGGCAACGTGTGCTGAGATCTGCTATGCCAGGTGAGGGAGTCTGCTGCAGGGCCATGAACACGGGCAAACACTGCGCAGGGAGGAGGAGGAGGGACGTGTGCTGTGCGTGTTCCAGCCAGATGCTCTGCAGGGCAGAGTGATTCCGACTGAGCGGCTAGGGAGGTGTGCTGATGAGGGCAATGTTAGAGAAATTAAGAAGTGATTACAGTGCACATTTAAACTCTCCTGGGCTATGAACATGAAAGGTACAATGCTGAAGCTTGGTTGTGTGCATCACAATGGGCAGGGGGTGCTTTTGTCAAGCTGGATGGTTCAAAGGCCAAGAAATCAGATGTTTGACATTCTGGTTTTAGCTTGGACATGCCCTTATTAAAACCTCCAGAGCCTAGCTCGTTTAGAGAGCATTTCAGGTTTGGTGACTTAGTTTAGTGTTAGATGACTGCTGAGTCTCTGGGTAGAAATTACTTGGAATGTGCCTTAAAAATCATAGATACCGCAGAAAATTGTGGCTCTCTGCTCTCCCTGTCCTCCCTGCAACCCTTTGTTCAGTTCTGTGCTAGGCCTGGCTCCACATTTATTAATGCAACATTTTATAGCATCGGCAATTTTCTATTCGCTGCTCTTTTAAAGAAAATAACCTGTTAATATAATACCACCTGTTTAGCAATGAGAAGGATTATGTACTTAAAATGTTCAGCAGAATAATACATACAAACATCTGACATTTGGCCTGATCTGAGAATAGGCGACATGCTTATTTAACGATTTTGAAAATGTTAAAATGGCGAGGTAGAAATTAAAATGTCATTTTAAAATATTTGTATTTAACTTATCTGATTCAATCCCTTTCTACATTTCCCCTTGGCATATTCGAACTGGGGGTCACGGTAGCAGTCTGACACTGTGGATACTTTGAACGATATCCTGAACACTGTTGGCATTTCAGCCTAATTAGTTGCATCCTATTTTGTGATTTGTCTTCGGTCCTTTGGGTTGCTGGCCAAGGATTTTTTTAACCGTTTTTTTTATGCTCATCATTGTCTCTTTTTAAATGTCAACAGACCAGTGCTTGTGTAATTGTGTTTAGTTTTTTTTTTCCCCTCTTATTTCTTTTCTCCCCACTGTCAGAAAATTTGACAAACAATTTCTACGTCTCAAGCAGGCTACACGAGAAAAATCTATCTCAGGACTGAGTGACAAACAGGGTCTGATCTAGTCAGTGCAGGTTTTGGGCACAGCCACACATTTTCCTGGCCAGTAGTCACCACTGCTGACAGTTTTGAACTGGGAAGATGTTTTTGTGAGCTGGGTTAATCATTTTTGCCAGCAATAGGCCACAACAGACAGAGTGCAATCTAGCCGCAGGGCAGACCTGCATCTCTCTTGGGCTGACTTCTGAAGGAAAAAAAGCTGATAGAGCCTCCCTCTCGCTGGGGTCATGTTGAACGTTTTGTAGGTAGTCCTTGGGCAGCTCGCTCTGAAAGAAAATGCTTGGGAACCCAGTGAGTTCAAGCTGTACATCGAGGGCTTGTACTTTTAGGAACCAAAGTGTCAAGTTGCCAATTTACTTTAAAGAGTCCTTACTGGACCTAATTGTGTGCCTAACGAAGCATTTTAGCATCTGGAGTTGCTGGGGTCGACAAGACATGGGAGTGCACTACCAGAAACTGAGGAAGAAAAGACACGCTCCTGGTTGCTTTTCTGTTTTGTGGTAAGTTTTGTTCTGCTGTCACTTGGCTCTGAGTGGAGGTGACTCACTCTGGGGGTCTCACCTGGGCATTGCTTCATGAAGCAGCACTGGGCAGTACTGCAGGCAGCCTGAAAGGGGGCTTGTGCCTTATGCTCTAAGCCCTGCAGAGGTCCGTCCTGTCACCGCTGGGTGCACACCTACTTTCATTTCCCCGTGTTTTCCTGCTTCTTGAGGGGATGATTAGAAGAGGCTAAAACTGCATTACTTCTTCAAGTAATGAAGCAAAAAATACTACATACAACTTCCCCAGAGAAGCAAAAAATACTACGTACAACTTCCCCAGAGATTTCGGCCTTTCTAAGATTGGGGAATTGCTTAGGTGTGGCACGTGAAACGCTGTTAATGCGTTGTGCCAGTTGCGTGGAAGACATTATTTATTTTGTGGGATGGAAAGCAGCTATTTAACCTGAGGCTGCCCTGTGCTGCAACTGCCTGTGTGTTGCAAACGTGCTGCGGTGCAAATAACAGCTGGCACGGGTGAGAAAAGCTCAGCCCCAGCGGCTGCGTGGAGTTAGGATTGCCGTGCAGAGCTGCCCTGTTGGTTTGCTCTCACTCCTCCGATGCCTACCTTGCTGTCATTGGGTTTGAATCTCTGCTGAGCACAGGTGCCAAATGAAACTAAGTGGCTTTAAATTGGAAACACACATTTTTGTCATCGCTATTTATTACAATACATGCCAATGAAAATTGCAGTTTTGCTGAAACTACAGGGGAAATCGGAAAGGTCATGCACAATATTGAGCTAAGAAAAATGTCATGCTTTAAACCACACCACGAAGAGCATAAAAACAGATGAAGGCCTGTGAAGTTTTTCTCTGATCAAAAAGATGATTTTAAGTCCTGATTTGGACATCGCAGTCTTGCTGGTGTTTTACACCATTAGATGAATTGCTGGTAAATTGCTTTGCCAAACAACTTTGGGGAAAGAAAAATCTCAGCCTAATGAAAGCAGAACTGAAAAGCAACTTTTGTGAAACCAAATGAAAGTATTAACAAAAGTTGCTCAAGCTGGTTAGAGTATGAAATCTCAATACGTTTTTATTCCATAAATATAATTTGAAGGAGCCTAAACCCAGAAAAACCACCACTGAAATGAGAATTCTGTTTGGCCTTCAGGACTCCACCTGTGCCTTGATTCATAATTTATACTCTGACTTTTCGATGTGTAAGGGGCCTTCACACCTCATGGCATGCATTATAGATGGAGGCAGTTTAGGTTAAAACATGCTTTTACCGTAAGGCATGGGGTATCGCCTGTTCTCCACATCAAATTCATGTGTGCAATTTAAACAAGACCTTACTCTGCTCCCCATAAATATGCACCAGATGTATCTTTTATAAATGTTAGGTTTTGCAGCATCTTGACACATGCCAGTAGTTTGAAACCTGTACGTGCTTCATTGGGGCATGAAAGCCCATCCACTCATTCAACTGTGACGTTTTGCAATAGGCAAAATTTTAGTGTTGTCAGCTACTCCCCGTTCAACTTTATTGACTTACAATGTCTAATCTGATGCTCAGGTTTCGAGTTGTTTTCAGAGGTGTCAGTTTTCTTCATCTGTGAGGTGACTGAACAGAATAGGAAAAGGAGCTTTGCCAAAATTCTCCAATCGATGATTACTGACATTGTGTGACATTACAAATGTGAGGTTTGTCCTGCAGTGAGACTTGCAGGAGACTCAGGGCTTAAGTTGTATGAAACAGCCCAGACAATTTTGACTGGAAAAAAGAATTTGCTGTCTCCTGTGAGGGGACACGCTTTCTGTCGTGGGCCTGTATTTATTAAGGTTGTTTTAAGAAGTGTATCAGCTATATTCTTTATTTAAAGTCGTAACACGGGGGATGTTTGCTATCAGTTAGCATTTTCTTGAACAATAATCAGTAGCCAGACTTCACCATCACTGTGTTCATCTACTAGAAAAGACAGAAAAGCAATGGTTTTCATTTCAAACCCTCAAGGCTAGGTTATGATGATAGTGTTAATTGCTTGGCAGAGAAAAGTGTTTGTTTTAGTGTCCAGTTACTAAAATAATGGCAAAGCTTTTTTTTTTTTTTTTTTTTTTTGATATTCTTTAAGGGTTGCTACTGATTTAAACTTCCTAGAGACCCTTGGCAAACTTGAATACTCCCACAGTAACCCATGCATTTGAACAATAAATGTACCTTCATTTAAATTTCTGAAAAATACAAAATTGTTCAGTCATTTAGTTAGGAACAACTAGCAGTGCTTCATGTAGCCCTGGAACAGAATGGAGGGATTGCAGCCATCACCAGCCTGGCTGGAGGGAAGTTTGCAGTGCAGCAAGGAGCATTACAGTCAGTCACTGGATATGTCCAAGGGGATCCTTTCAGTTGCAGCTAGTTGCTGTCTTTGGGGCAATAAAAACCTTGGTTTCTGAGGTTATTGATCTTTATTGAAAATGTATCAGAGAAACTGTTGGAGTGAGCAGAATGCACCTTGTGAAAATGGGACTTGCATTAAGTCAAGAAAATTCTTGCTGCTCTGCCATTTTTCTGTCTACACTTGTCCGCAGTGCTGGAAAGTGTGCAGTAATGTGAAAAGCAGAGCATGAGATTCTTGGCTTGTATAAACTAGCTGCACCGAAGCTGTATTGATTCTTGCCACCATGGGATGTGGCACAGGACCCTTCCCTTGGATGAGCACAGTACCATCAATGGGTGCAGACATCAGAGGATGCAGCAGGTTACTGTGCAGTTGCTGCGCACAAAGCACTTCCATCTTATTTCCACATGTGGAAAATGTTCCTCCATCCCTCGATTCTGAACAGCAAGTCTGACTTTTTAAACTGCATGTGTAGTTCTGGCATGAGGATAATTTCCTTTGTAAAGGAAATAATGAAACAGTCTCATAAAGCAACAAATATAAGTTGCATGTGGCTCAATATAATCGTTATTTATTGGTCATTTGGATATTTATACAGCAAAATAGTAACATGAATACACCAACTAAGCTATAAACATAGTGTGTATATACAGAGAAGGGGTGGTTAATTTTACATAAGGTGGAGAAGGCACATTATGCAATGATACACCACGACCACTTTGAGCTGGCAGAATTCTGGCCACGATATTTATATTTTGGCTAATGTAAATTCTCCTATAACTGTCAGAAGGCTCTCTTTGCACTTCACAAGCTGGATATCACCTCTTTCCATGGGAAAGGGGCAGCGAAAGGGGAATAAGCTGCTTCATCCTTCCCATGCTTCTGTGCATCTTCAGAGGGATCAGACACAGAGCAGGTCGTGTGCTCTACCTTAGCACCTTCTCCTTTGCAAAAGACTGTTAGAAGTGAAAGAGAAAGTTCAAATGTGTAAGGCTGGGAGCATATTACGTGTTTGTTCCTTGAATGGATAGGCTGCAAGTGATTGTGAACAAATTATTTTACTTTTGGCTTTAAAGTCAAATGAGGAGATAGCAAATACATTTTCAAAATATTTTAGGTCTTCTGTGTGGAGACAAACGTTCTCTCCACAACTGTTATATTATTGCTCTTCCCTGAATGCCCGTGCTTCTCTACATATTCTGTTATATCCCTGGGCTGAGAAGCAGTAAATGGCTTGGCATTTGCTCTATCAGTCCTAATCCTTGGCTTTAATTTTAGCAAAGATGGTATTTCACTTTGTATAATGTATTGCCTTTCTTTTAACTGTTGTTCCTTGGCTGAGATATGGCCTGAAAGGGTCAGGCTTCCTCACCATGGTTGCTACAGCATGTTAAATAGCCACGGCTTTGGGCTTTTTTATGCTTCTCCAGGCTGCTGTTGAGCTTTTCCAGCTGCAGAGTCTGACTCCCTGCCTTCTTTGGATGTTGATTTGTTAATTTAGCTTTGGTCCTTTTCTTGTTTGTTTCTTATAAGATTTTAAGTAGGATTTTAAATATTTCGCATTTTAATCTCTATTTGCAATAGAACTCCCTTCCTCTAAGTTACCCTGCACCAACCTGCCTCAGTAGGCAATTCCCATGCCCTGACTCACCCCTGTCCTCTTTTCCATGGCCTCGCTGTTACGAACACCCCACTTCACCCTCACTGCATTTGAAAGGTTGTAATCCAGCTTTTACCTCCAACTTCCTCAAGTGTCATCTGCTTTCATTCCCTTTTCTCCCCTTACATTTGTGTGAAGTTTCACCACTCCTATTTTCATCATTCCCTCTCTGCTGAGACAGACAGCAGTCACTTCTGATTTATTCTAATCCTAGTTTAAAGGCTTTTCCCCTGCCTTCTGTCTCCCTGACTTACCTTCTACAAACCACACTCATGTTTCACCATGAGAATTTTCCCTTTCTTGTGCTTTTATGGGTGTCTTTTTAATGCTTTAGTAGCATATTCCTCCAGAGCTCTGTTTGGTCTGTATGAAAACTCTTCAGGTTTTCATCTCCTGTCTCTTCCTTTCTCTGTACCCATTGCTGGGTATCTTTCTCAGCCCTATAGATTCTCTGCGTGACAACACTTTCTTGGATGTTTTATTACAGATTGTTTTCCCACTGTCTCCAAAATTTTGTCCAGAAAGTCGAACCACTGAGCAGAACAGAAAATGAGTTTCCAGACACTTCCTTATTCTTGCTGTGTCTTTCACTGTGAACAATAATGCTTTCCTTCAGGTTACTTCTCCATGCAAACTGACCTCCATCTTCAGGTGCTTTCTCTCTTTTGTCCTTTTTCTTTGAATCATATAACAATTTAGGCTGGAAGGAGCCTCTTGAGGTCATCTACTCCAACCTCCTGCTCAAAGAAGGGTTGACTTCAAAGTTAGATCTATATTACCTCCTTCTGCTGCTTTCTCTGAATTTATTTCTATTTTTCTTTCTCCTTCTACATTATTCAATGGGATCTTAACTTTTTTTTCTTTCCTCTTTCTTCTCCTTTTAGCTTATACAACCATTATCACTGCGCAGAAACGCAGGAACATAAAGCAGGTGTGTGGAAGCATCTTCTCTGCATCTGCTTTACTAGTTCAAAGCCACTGCTGCTCCTTGCTCCCAGTTCCAATTCCCGCTTCTAGATTCCCCCTCATTTTCAAAGCTCTCTGTCCCCAAGTCCTTCCCCTCCTGCAACCTTCCAGCTCTTCTTGTCCACTTACCTCTTGCTTGCCCTCTTGTTCTCACATGCTACCACCTTTGCCACCTCTGCCTAGAGAGCTGCCTCTTCTTTGGGTCTCATTTTTTTCAGCAAGCCGTAAGCCACGTGTGTAGGAATCTGCACAAAGCACACCTCTGCCATGCCTCACCCTCACACACTGTTCTTTGCAGTCTCATTTGCTGAGCATTATCTACCTCAGACTGTCTACTCTGAAAATCAACCTCTTCTTTTCTTCAGGTATGCATGTGTTCAAGTAGTGATCATGCAAACAAACTTTATAGTATTCTTTATTATGACTTGGCAGTGTCTCACAGGGCAAGTGCTGGGCTGAACTAAGAGTTTCAGTTATTACATCAGGCCATAATTCAAAAAGATCTTCCCTGAATCTCTATCTCTTACTGCCATGTTTTTGGTAACTTTTTTCTTTCTTTCTTTCCTTATTGCCACTTGAACTCTGGATTTAAACTGCAGCTTTGCAATGGTTGCATTTAAATTCATAAGCTTCAGTAGTAAACTGGGCTAGAATAAAATCTGTTGTGCATTTGTGTTGTTACTGCATTATGCTCATCTAAAATTCTGCTCTTTCAACTCAGTTCAAATCCTAGCATCCACTCCCATCTACTGTAGTGCCTTGTTTTGAAAAATATCTGTAAGGACTTCAAAAATAAAGAGAATGTGCTTGCTATCAGAATTACTGCTAATCATCTAACAAGGAAATAAGTGTGAGTGACATGAGTGACATCGATCTTCAGCAATCCCTTAAGGGAATCACTGAAAATAAATTCTGTATTGATCATTAGTTAAAATGATCACTTAAACACTTGGATACCGAGTGTGTGCAACACCTGGAATAACCATGGGAAGTTGAATGCGTGTATCTGGGGTATTTCACAACCACAGGAACAGATCATCTGAGCTGCAAGAAAAAGAAAACACCATCATGAACTTTCCATGATGCCTCTTTATTGTAGGCTCAATTTGTGTGGGAGCAGTGAGTTTGTGCTTTAATTTCTTCACTATGTGTTGCAATAATTTTGCTACTGAGGAATACCATACCTGTTTCAAAAGAGGAAAATGCAGATACAAAACATAATTTTTCTGTGCCTATATGGATGTCTGATCTTCAGGACTGTTGAGATGCTCTTTCATTATTTCCAAGCCAGTGCTCCTGCCTTCCTGGTATTTTCCATGAGCACTGAGAAACATTTTTAAGCATGCTTGCTTTTTTGGCAACCAATATATGTTGGCAATGGGAAAGGCAATATTTTGGACCATTGGGTACAATCCTAATGAGAAAATGGTGTTAGTATGGATATACAGAATTTGTTTAGGATGTTTTATTTTCATGTCTGCTAAAAGGTCAGGTTGTGTCTGCTGGATATTTCAGGACATAGTCGTTTATATTTAGAGAAATGCATGCATTTGTTGGGGGTGGAAAGTGAAATTCTTTTTGGTAGAAAATGGAGAGGCTTCAAAGAAAATGAGAGAACTGGAGGAAAGAAAACCAATTAAATTTGAAACATTTATTTTGGAGAGTTTTTGCACAGCTTCCTTTTAATCCCTGATTAACAGATGAAAGTAGATATGCTGAGACACAGCTCTAGTACTAAACCCTTTGATAACAGAATTAGAAGTCTATGTTGAAGGGTTATTTGATTTGTCTGCATTGCCTTCTGCAGCAGTGATTGGTAGGCAGGCAAAGGAAAACACAAACGAGATGTGTTTTGTTACTCGTGTTGTGTTTGAGACAGGCACTTAGAAGTATCCCAGAAACCATTACTGTCTGTAATGCCTACTGCTGATTACCAAGGCTGAAGTTTCCAGTGCAAATAAAAATTGTCCTTGGACAGGTTGGTCCAAAACGGTGATAAATAGTAGTGGTTCACGTAAATGCTAGGAGATGTTTAGTATTATTGAAATTAAAAAGAAAATATTGAAAATATTGAAAGCCCAAAGTCATTGTAATCTTCGTAGCAGGTGTTCCCGGTATCAGAATGCAAATGAACATATCTAACATATGTACACTGTCCCCATTCAGCCGTCTTGCAGGATGGAGGAGAGCCTTCCTCTAAATCAGTCTTTCCATCGGCGGTGGCTGCACCATGTTCCACATCTCCACGCGGGAGCCCTCCTTCTCCTGCCGGCTGGGGCTGTAGGTCCCTTGCGTCGCCCGTTTATTGGCAGCAATGACTGAAACCACAACTGCCAAGAAGAGGATCAATAACAAGGCCAGCATTACTGAGCCAATGGAGGTGAATATGTTCGAGATCAAGTCAGTTGTCAACTGGAAGGATCGAAATAATTGCAATATAATTTATGTCAAGAGAATACAGAGATACACTTGAGCTACCATGGAAGGAAAACAAAAAATCCTTCTATGGACAGGACTTTGCAGAAAGGACACACTGCTGAAGCACCATTATTTTGGAAGAGAAGTAAATTACCCCCTCCAGAGTTTGTTCATTGGACTCTTTAGAAAATTGCACACTCGCTGCTGGGTATTAACACACAAGGCAGAGCTGGATGCATTGCATGTAATGACCCTTGTAATTTGGCAACTTCCTTTCTGCTTGAAAATAGTCTGTCAGCTAATGCTTCTTGGACTGTGGTGGTAATTCAGGAATTATTTGCTTAATCACTTTAATAATAATTCATTTTCTTTAATTTTGTTGTGAACATGCTATTGCTAGTCTTTGCTGCCATGAGTTAAACACTAGCTATTTTGACTGGCTATATAGTCAATCACATTTCTGTTTCTCTTGCTGGAGAAGTCAAGTTTCTGTGAATACTTGCATATAGAAAATTTGCTTACTGTAAATATTTGTAACTATTCTACAGACATTCCTGCCAGTATTTTTTTTTCTACCAGCATGTTTGTATGAAATACAAATATACGTTTGTCAAATGTACAAATATACATGTTTGTCAAAAAATCATACAAATACATGTTTGTATGAAACATCAACATAACTGCCATCTATTCAGTGAGAAATGAGTATCAGTGTATCTCACAGATGCTTTAAAATATTCATCCATCTCTTTACACATAAGCTTAATCTATAGAAACACAGCCAGTACAGTATGGGATGAATGTAAGGAGGCTATGACTTTCTTTCTGTTTTCATGCAGCAGTAGAAAACGTGGTAATGTCAGAAGGCACAGTGCGCATAAACAAATCTGCCAGTTAAAAAGCTTTAGACCAGGGAAATTTTAGAGTAGCTGAATGTTTTATACACATCTACATATGGGTTTTTTGTATTTATTATTTTTTTTAAATGTTGTGAGGGTAGCTGATGAAGTGATGTGGACACTGTGGAAAAGTGGTCACTGCGGACAGAATGACCCTGGAAGGAACTGAACTTCTGGGCAGATTCTGCCATCCGTCGTTTTTTAATTTATATTACGAGTGGCAGCTGAACTGCCATACATGACTGTGTGCTCGAGGGTGAACTTTCAAATCCCAAAATATTTAGAAATAAAAAACAGCAGGTCAAAGGTAGGTTTCCCAGTTAGATACTGCATGTTACAGGATATTTTAGTGACCTGCTTACTCGTCATTTCTAAGGAAGTGCAATTACGGTTCTGAGAATGACTGTGCATTCAGCAATGGACGCAATGTGTTGTTTCTGTGGCAGTGCACTGTGTGCCATGCTTGGACTCACACTGTTCAGGTTGGCAGTGCCAGGGGAAGAATTATAAAACAATCCTGCCTCTTTTTTCTCTGCACCTCCATGCTGATGTAAAAGGTCCTGCTATAATAATAAAAGCAAGTTGGTCTCGGGCATTCTCTCTAGAGGATGCATAACCTGCTGGGGTATTATTTTCCTCCGTCTTTGATGCCTCTGTACAATTCCTACGATTTTAAAAGCTTTTTTTTTATTATTTTTTCCAATAGAAATAATCCAGTGCAAGTGAGAGGCCAACCCTAAAATAAGGTGACATGAAACATGTTGGTCTTTTAAATTGTAGGATTGGGAAGGTCATTTCATCTGGAGATGTGTTACAGATATGTTTGAGATCTGAGTTTTTCTCTGCACTTTTAGACTCAAGGATGATGTCTCAGAAAGACTACAAATTTTTAATGCAATTTTTGTTCTCAAAAGCTGTTTATTATTTTCATTTTCTGCTCTGGGAAATTGAAGAACAAGGTAGTCTACACGAACTCTCATCCTGGGGTTGAACCTGATGGTGGTGAAAGAGAAATACTACCATAAGCTGATGGATGGTATTATGTTGTATTCAATATGTGAACTTCCTGAAATTATTTTTCCATTTTCTTGTCCATACTTTTTTACTTTCTGGTGTAAGTATGTCTGCATCTATGGAGACATTTTTTATTTATGATATCTTTCAAATTGCACTTTCTTAAGGGTAAGTTTAATGCAGAGGAGTTGGGGAGAAAAAACAACTGTAAATTGTTAAAATGTGATCAAATATCTAAACCTCATTCTCAGGTTGAAATATTTATAAAAGGATTTTTTTTTTTTTTCCAGTAGCTGCTTATTAGAGAAACCTTATTCATGGCACATTACAGCAATCCACTAGACATTTTGCTGCAATTTGAATTTCTGTTTAATAACATTTGGTGAGAGAAGATCATTGCATTTGGTTTGGTCTACCAGTGACCTGAACTTCAAAAAATACTGAAAATTGCACATATTGCCTGTATCTGGGTTGGACAAAATACTTCCTCTTGAGCCAGTATGTTTAAAAAAATAAGTTACCTCACTGATTAAAATCTATTGAGCTCTTTTTTCTTTTTTTTCCCCATGATCAGATGACACATAGTCTAACTTTAATTCTGCTTTTATATTGTTTCTAATTTCTAAATATGAAAAAATTGGTCTTTATGCATTAATTTGGGTGAATTTTGTATTAACCCAAAAAATCTACCATCCCTTCTACTGTCCCTTGCTTCATCAGCCCACAGATCACTGCCCAAGTTTTACGATGTAGGTAGCCCCCTTAGCAGAAGCAGTGAATTGATAGCAGAATTGCCAGAAGGCTCTGCAGTCTGGTCCCATCAAAATCAACTGCTTCTTTTGTAACTGATGCCTGAACAGTTCAATTAATTTGGAAAATGAACTGGCTGATCTGGAAAAAGCATCAGAAAAGTTCTGTCCCTGATAATCTCTGTGTCTTTTCCTCACAGTATTTGGTGGTGATGATACTGAACTAATCGTAACTGGTGATCCCAAATTGAAAAAAGCACTGAGCAGCATTTTCAGAAACATATTGCTGCCAAAACAAGACCACCTGAGGGCTCTTCCGACCTGAATGATCCTACAAGCCTTGCTAGAAGGTAACCAGTACGGGACCAGTTGTGAGAGTTCCCCTGCCCCTAAAACACAGTAGCTGTTGTTAAAAGCTGTGTCCTTATTGGTAATGGGTGCTGATGGCGAGATGATGTCATGTGTCATGGTAATACAAACAAAATGAATTTTTTTTTCTAAAATTAGAAGGTCAAACTGCTTCTCTCTAAGATGTTTTACATAGCATGTTCTATTTACGTGTCTTTGGATGTCAGCCAGAGCAAGGTTATTTGGTTATACTGCCCAAAATTATTTGGGCAAAACTGAAATAAAAAATAAAAATTAGTAAGAATTAAAAGGAAAATATTCTTGAATTATGTTTTCATGTAGTGAATAGATTTATCTGCAAAGACAGAAGTGCAGGATTTTTATTTTTTTTTGAAACAAGGTCTTTCGACTTTTCACTTTTGATTTTATTTTAAACTCGATTCCTTTTTTTTAAAGTTTTTAGACTGTTAAGTAAAATTATTTCAAATATTTAGATAAAATTATGAATAGAAGTTTTTCTTTCCATTTGGTTATTCATTTGGTTGTAGACTAACTGTTCAGCCTTGGTTCCTTGATCTGTTCTGTAAATGAACAGTTCAGGTCATGAATGCCCAGGTCAGGAGTCAAAGCTCGGTAGCATATAGCAGTCTTCTTTATGTATGGTTATCTTTAAACAAGATGTCTTCCAAACAGTTATTTTATGAGGAGAACATTAGAGATTTGCTATCTATGAATGTTTCCATGTGTGCCAAATGTCAAAGTCAAGTGGAACAGCACAAGGGAGCCAGCAGAATACAGAGGGCCTCTTCCTCTTGTGTGTTTTACATCAGCATGACTTAGCTGATCTAATCCTGCTTTATGTCAGTATGGGGGATGAGAATTACGGCACCAGACACGAGGTCCTGAGCCAGAGCCAGGGAGAGAGGAGAGAGCTGTGGTGCCGGAGCAGCAATTGCTGCATGGGAGAGAAGTAGCACGAGCTGCTCGGGACACTGCTTCCTGGGCATGAGCTTTGCATGGGAAGCATGGCTTGGGCCACAGTCTTTAGGATGTGAAAGCAATGGCATAACACCCTCTGAAAGCAGATGCATGCCTCTATTGCTGGGCAGTAAGATTTAATCATCCTTCATTTCAGCACTCACGTAGAAATATGCTGGATTCTGGATGCTTTGCAAGACAGAGACATCAACATAAGCTTTAAAATACAGGAATTGCCCAGCCCTGGAGAATTCCCTTCTCTGTCATGTGTGGTGCTTTCTGGGAATTCTGCAGCTGCTCGTGTGCACTAGAGCTTTCGCTGGTGAAGTCTCCAGATCTGGAGTCCTGACACCACTCACGAGGTTATCACTTCATTCCCGGTAAGAAAGTCTGATCCATGCCATCCAGATTTACTGCTCCCAAATCAAAACCATTTGCTAAAGTAACGAGGGGTGATTGGCTTGAGTGGTACTAATCCACATCAGAGTTACTTTGAAAGGTTTGGGGGCATATAGGGATAATAATGAGCAGCCAAAGAAAAGCCGTTAGCATGATTAGAAAGCCCATAGATATACTGAGTTTATTTCATTGAGGATTTATAACCATCTTATCAGCAAATTATCCCATTAAAAGCTGATTTCAAGTAAGAATCCCAGTGGTTCTAGAAGAAATCCAGTAAGTAATACGCAAATCAATTCTAATGAGATGCACTGATAACCCCAGCCTGTGGGACTACAGTTTATTTTCAACAGCAGCAAAGTGGCCATAAATCTATGGACTGACTTTGTTCCAATATAAGTCCTTTAAATGAGTGGCACATGATTTTTTTTCCACCTTCACAACCAAGCACCTACTGCTCTGCCTTGTACCGTCTGTAAAAAGTAGCTGCTCAGCCTGTGCTAAACATCAGCCACCAGGTTCCAGGAGCTGTGTGACTGAGTTGTTAGGCTGCAGATTCGAACCACTTGTGAACTATTTAGGACTCTTAAACAGAGCAGATTCATGT